CAACAATACTTACACTAAATTCCCATCTAGCAAGATCGTTAGCCATATCAACTTTTTTCTGTAAATTGTGTACATAAAATTTGTCGTAAGCGATCAACTTCTGGGATCTATTGATAGTATTCAACTGTGAAAGAATCGAACAAAAAGGAATAACATCAGAAGTATTATTCGGCTCATGCTCTACAAGTTGCTCCAAAGCTTTAACCAACGCCGATACTAAACGATTGAAATGTCTTCGCTCGAACAATGACCACCACCTTTCTAAAAAAATGTTTTTCAAAATAAAAGAATGTATCAAGGTATTTATTGGAAACCAGAGAAAGAGCTACCAAAAGTCTGGAGAACAGAAGACATTGAGTAAAATGTTCCCCGCCGATATGGCTTACTCAAAAATAAAGTCTGGCACCAACCTAGTACTTTCCGATCTGCTTCGCGCAGTAGTTGAATTGCACGAACAAACGGCAAATGAAGTGTTCTGACTGATGCATAGGAAGGTGAAGAAAATAAATATAATGAAGGCAAAATGAGATAAACTCGAAGGGATTCCAAAGAGGTTATTTTTTCCCACGACAGTTCCCACATTCCTGCTGCATCTAGACTTGTTAGCATCTAAAATTTCTTCAATATATTAAAAAAATGTGTAAACAAATTAACATAAGATGAAAAGTATTTGAGAATCCAAAAGGAAGACTGCAGACTAATAAATCCTTTGTTCGTTAAATGTACAAAACTTACCAAACCAATTATTAAATTAGAGAACAAATAAATTATAATACAAAAGAAAAAAAAACAGACTATTTCTGCATACTGATCTGCATCTGTATTTTCCGAAATAATACTAGATGCCTGCACGACATGATCCAAATCCAAACAGTTGTTCGAAGCACTACATCGATATCTTTTTTCATTTTCGTAAAGAAATGAGGCATTTATAGAAGATAAAGACGAAAATACAGATTCTAATTCTCTGCAAAATAATCCTAATAAGCAAAAAAAGTGAATCTTTTGAAAATCATCATGAAAAACTGAAGATTTTTTTTTCACAATCTAAACCATTTTCTTCACAATCTAATTTATTAAATTACCCAATAATAGTTAATTTGTCACCAACTGCAAACAAATCACGAACACGTTGCAGTGACAAATACTTCGGTCTTTGAAGGTAGCTGCTTGGTCCAGAAAGCACTTCCTGAAAATTATGATATAAAACAATTCGCCGTTGTCGTCGCTATCCCTCACTTATTTAGTATTCTTAATTTCTTTATTTAAACTCCATAAAGTCTGCTTACCACATCTGAAAAAGAAGCTTACATATGCATGTTTTGCATGAATCTGCAAGCAGAAACTTTGATCCCAACCCGCGAATACTGATGCCACATTCCTAACTGAATTAATCGTACGTGGTGTAATTTGATTTCGTGTATTTCCATGACCCAGTTGTCCATTGCTATTCAATCCAAACGTATGCATTTTTCCATTTGCCACAACCATTGTGTGACACCTAAATTATTAGTAGATATGATAAAGAAACAATCAATTTTACTTTATCCAAAAAAATAAACCTTCCACAAGCAATTCTCGTTACATGGCTTCCAAGCATTTCGGTGATACCTCTCATACAGTTGTGTGATCTACTTGGCTGACCACAGCCCAGCTGTCCAAACGAATCGCTGCCGCATGAAAATACACGTCCTTCATGAGTGAGTGCAACAGAATGGCTGTCACCACACTCAACTGCCACGACTGAATTAATATTTGGTACTTCACATGGATTACTGACATCTGAAAGCATTAAAATTAGTATCGAGATTGCTGAAAAGATCCATACAGTTTTTATTTGTTTTGTTCTTTGATGAAGGTTGATATTGAAAGGCTTAGATGTGTGAAAGTTACAATTTAAAAAGTTTCTCGAATCTACGACAATGTACAAGAAAGTAAAAAAATGCATCTTCAGCTACGTTCCGCCTTTTACATATTTCATCTACATTATTGCTATACCTATTGCATCATTCTCTTTAAACTTTTCCTCAGGGCAAACGCACCTTTGTTTGTAAAATCTCCAAGTTGTCCCTCTTCGTTCTTTCCCCAAGCATATAATGTTCCACTCGCCGTTAAAGCCATTGTGAACAAATTTCCCGCACTAACTATAAAAAACATTAAAATTTTGCATCTGAATAAAAAATTAATTTAAAAATGATGTAAAATGACAAATATATACAATAATTCCTAAAATTAAATAATGAAACCAATTAAAATTAGTAAAATTTCACTTACTCTGAATTATAGGTACAGAAACGAATATTTCAACTTCTGCAGGGGAATGTCGTATTCGCCCATCGGGTTGTTGTCCCCAAATAAATACTCGACCACCTCAAAAATTTAATACTGATCTTTTTAAATTTGAAATTCAACCTAAAGCAAAAACTTACCTCCATTTAAGGAAACTGTATGAGATGCTCCACAAGTTACTTGTACTGTTTCTGGCAATGATGGCACACGTCTGAAAGATAAACGAATGTGAAATAAAACAAAAAGCAAGGAAAACTATATATAACGAATAGTCAACAGCGCCTATCAACAACGCTCACAAATGTAACTAACATACTAACATCTTAAAATTATGCATTAGAATAATCAAAACTGGAATTTAAGCATTTTCCAGCTAATCACAGAAAACCAGTTACGAAAATTTTTAGAAAACAAAAGTACTTGGGAGTATCAGAAATAAGAATATCACAAGACATTGCAAGTTGTCCATGACTGTTACTACCCCATGCAAACAACCGGCCATCATCTGAAACTGCCATACTGTGACTTCGACCAGCTGATATTTGGATGATGCTAACGGTACTTGACATATGCACTGGATATATAGTACATGAGCCTTTGTTGACACCTCCTCGACCAAGTTCGCCATTATAATTACTACCACATGACCATACCTATAAATATATAATTTATTTTAAGAGCAAACAAAAAAAGGAATAGAAGAAAGCAACACTCATCTACCCTCAGATCTCAAATTAATCGTATAAAAAAACAATATGAGGAAGCGAAAATTCGAAAAATCACCAAATCAAACTCCTGTATTTTTAATCAATAATCTCGTTACGCTTCAAAAACATTTTTAAAACTTGTCAAATTGAGTTTAACTATAAAGGACTCCAATTATAAACAATAATTTGAAAATAATGTTCGAAACAGTTATTTATAATCCGTAGCAAGAAATTAATTTTTAAACCATAAACTAAAAGGATGCTTTTCAAACGATAATTTGCCGCCCATGAGACAGATTCCGGAATTTCACAAAGAAAACTGTTTGATCACGAAGTAAGAAAGATATAAAAAAGATATGAAGATCCAGAAATAAAAGAGACTATACTTTTCCATCATCAGCCAAAAATAGCGTATGCTTTTCACCGCTAGCAACAGCTTTCACAGTAACACCATGCTCTCCGGTAGGTGCACCATATACCAATTGCGGAAAAAGTATCATTTGATCATCATTTTCGGTAGAATTTGGCCGAAAACCCAATTGCCCATCACCTGCACATCCGAACACGTACATTTGGCGGCGTGCCATGATACCTGAGAGAAAATAAGCATTATTTTCTGTATGCTCTACGTTTCAATTTGGATATTTCAGGAATTCAAGCTATGTAAGTTTGAGTTAACCTTGTACATGGATAAGAAATTCCATCTACAATTTTTAAATTTTTTCAAAGGATTATTTTCTTATTCACAATTTTATTCCGCAAGTGATACATGATATTAGCTAGAACAACAAAATTTCTTGAACTGCTCGATTATTCATTCGTTAGTTGGATGTTGTACTTATAATTCCGAATTTAGATGTTTATAAAGGGCTTTCTAAGAAGGGTTCTAAAATCCAAAAAAAGTTGTCATAGTGTCGGTTAATTTGTGACAGACAAATGAAACATTAAAGAATATCACATGTCCTATTTCCAGATCGATGATCTCAGCTCCCAAAAATGAGAAAAGATTGATCTTCGGTAATGATTTAGATCTTTTTTATCAATGAATTGATCGCCTCAATTGTAGCTTTAAATCATTGCTTATTTTTATGATTCATCGCTGCTACTCCATCAATTATATTATACTAATCATGCTCAGTGGTCTTACCGACCCTCCTTCTTGGTTTCACCAATTCTAACACAGAAGTTTCTCTAGTCGTTAAAAAAGGAAGACACGTTCCCAAACATGACTTCCAATTTGTCTCGAGCAATCAGATTAATAAGTGGATTCGTATGCATACATCAGAAACTCTCAGATGTTTTCTTTATGCATAACAAATAAAATTCGCTGAAGTTATTAATACAGCAAAGATTTAAACTTCTACGCATATATGTAGCCAACATTATCATCTAAACTGTTATGCAATTGTACTATAAGTAATGGTAGCATTCTAAACGGTAATGTTCTTGCAGCGGAAAATATTAGTTATACAAAATTTATCATTGATCAAAAAGCCCTTTTTGCCTTTAAAAGTAAACTTTTGAGTACTCAAGCAATAAACTTACGATGAAAATGAAACTTGAGTTGAACTGTTGTCACCAGAAAAAATTCACCGAGTACTTCAACTTCACAGGAATAAACACACCCACTCGTAAAAATTGCAGCAACAAATAGTACAAATATGTAAACAATTCAAAGAATAATGGGTAAATAACGGTGCGTCCTTCAATTACACGTTCGGTCTATTCGTAATGCACGCGGATCAGCACTGAGCACAATTTCATAAATTTAAGTGAGGAGCCTGAGCTTCGTGTAAGGGCAGAATGACCTGACAAGTTTTTTGACAGTTAACGGTGACAAGACTAAACGATGAATAATTCTGTCGGGCTTCAGAAAATTTGTCCGAAAAAATTGAATTTCCAGAAAATGCAAGCCTGAAAATGAGTTTGTCGGATTCCTGTACTCCTGTAAATCAATGTCATTCAATTAGGAACGGTATTTTAAAAGAAAAGTCAAATCTGTTCGATTAATTCAGTTGCATTTTTGCTTTATATGCCGCCATTTTGTCCTTTACTGTATGTCTAATCTTTGGAAATCAGAATATTCCCGTCAGTTCCATTTCATTTTGCTGATCGAAATTACTCAGCTTTCTTTATTTTGATATTTTCAGCTAAAGCCAAATAGGTAAGTAATTTTTAAAAAAGTAATTGAAATTTTCTTATCACTCCCAATTTTGCACCGCTTATGTGGATTCTTCATTTTTAATTTTGATTTGATAAATGGAGTAAGTCTTGTATTTTTAGTCAGTTTTTTCTGACACAAAGTTAAATGGCTAATAAATCATTCGTCGTGTCTTTTTTCTTATCTTCAATTGTCCTGTCATCTTCATACCTTTTAAATTTCTTTCGATTTTTTTTTTAATTTTAAAAATAACTGCAAATTCTATGATAACAATGTTCCCCTTTCCTGGTGTAATAGTAATTTTTTGTCACCATTTATCACAGTGTATTAAAAAAGAAGGACGTGGTAATTAATACATTGGGTCTTACCTTTATCACTATTTCTTCGCATCAATAATACATATACCGCATCAGTTACATCGACCAACTAATACGTAACATAATACTAAGGATACTCTTTACTCTTATTTTAAGACTTCCCAATAGCTGTTAATTCTCATATCAATAATGAATAGAATCTCTTAAATATAAATTACTAATAATTCTAGAACATATTTTTTTGCTATTCATATCATCTTAATTGAATGAATTATAAATGAAGCAATCATTTACGAAGATAATTTGGATATCTTTGATAGATAATTTGGATAAAGAATTATAAATAACTTAAGAATTAAAGATTAAAGATAATAATCTGATGAGTTTTTCCCCGAGCTTTATTTTGGAAATAATACAATTAATGACAGGAATGAAATGAGCAGTATGATCTTTACTTTTTATACATATCATATATACATTTTTTAGCCATTCGAAAGTTCTGAAGCATTACAAAGAAGGGATCATTTCTTGAGTCTTGTCGGCATAAGATGGTTACCGATAAAATTTGCAATAACTTTTCACTCCCTATTGCTTTCGTTTATTTCAGATTTCATCTAGTTTCGGGATGTTGCAACTCTGGAAATTTGTTGGAATATGCGGTTTTAGAGCTCGCGAATTCAATTCAACTGCATCTTCCATAAAAAGTATCTGTGTAGTTGGATCCGGTTTGATGGGTTCCGGAATTGCACAGGTTTTTCACATTTTTCCGGGTGACTCGCTTTAAATTATGCTCATCTTTTCATTTTATATTTCACTGATCTTTTTATTTATATCTGCCTGATTTCGGAAAATCTCGATATTCGTAAGTCTTTGTCTCTAAGTTTTGTATTGGAAATAATACAATTAATGGCAAGAATTGAAATGACTAGTATGATTTTTTATTTTTTATACATATCATATATAGTTAGCTATATATTCAGTATAGGTAGCAGCACAAGCATCGATAATGGTAACATTAGTCGACAAGTCGGACGCTGTTCTAGATAAATCGAAAAAGTACATCCAGAACAATTTGGAACAACTAACAAAAAAGCAGTGCAAAGATGTAAAGGTGAACTGTGTTATTAATTCTTTTTCTACTTCTATTTCCTTTTTCTTTTCTTCATATCAGTTCACTGCCAATAACTTTTTCATGGCTAAACGAAGTCATTGATATCGAAAAGTTTTATCGGTCCATGTACTACAGATGCAAACATCAATCATTGAAAATACAATGGAGAAAATAATGATGACGAAAAACCTGAAGCAAGGTGTTCAGAAGGCAGATTTAGTGATTGAAGCAATTGTTGAAAATCTACCAATGAAGCAAAAGTTGTTCGAACAAATTGAGGCCGCTGTTACAAAGTTTTTTTTTTTCATGATCAATTTTATTATTTAATTGCTAAAATGAATATGATCTTTGGTAACTGCGAAAATGATTATACAACATCAAATATCAATCTTTTGTTCGGCAACATCCCTCGATTAGTCGCTTTTAAGGTATTTTTTGTAACTGCCAAACTATCAACTGAAAATACCAGTACCATCATTGCTCATCTTTTAACGCCACTAACACGATTTTGACGGTTTTCAATACGATTTTACCTATTCAACTGCATTCAACATTTATTATGATTCCAGGCCGATATTACTTGCTAGCAATACATCTTCACTGAAGCTACAAGATATTGCAAGAAATTTGAAAAATAAATCAAGATTTGGCGGTCTCCATTTCTTCAATCCTGTACCAGTAATGAAATTATGCGAAGTAAATAATTCTATTTTTCGTTGGTCTTCAATCTCCATAGCCCCTCAATGATTCACAGATCTGTGTTTCAAAAAGCATCTGCGATATGGTACAACGAGGAAGTCAGTTGAGCCATATTCTCATTGTCTAAAATTTATCAACAGAGAGTATGGAGCTTCGCTCGGACATTCATATATGAAAACCAAGTTTTCAGGTAGCACGGCTGACGGAAACATCAGATGATACATTTAATGCCCTCCAGTCGTTCGGGAAAACGATCGGTAAAATAACGGTCGCATGCAAGGTAAGGTAAGCAGTCTGACCGTCACACGGTAGTATCCATAGTTTATTTTATTTGGATTTCAGGATGTTCCCGGTTTCATCGTCAATCGCCTACTGATTCCGTATCTGATAGAAGCAATTCGAATGTCTGAACGGGACGATGCATCACCGCAGGACATCGACACAGCAATGAAGCTAGGAGCTGGCTATCCAATGGGACCGTTTGAATTGCTAGATTATGTGGGTCTTGATACGATAAAATTCATCTTGGATGGTAAGTTTATAGACCGCTCGACTTATACAGAAACGAGATTTTTAGTGGGATCTGATTTCAGGATGGCACGAATCTCACCCAAATGAGAAACAGTTCAATCCATCTCCGATGCTGAACAGACTGGTGGCTGAAGGAAAACTTGGAAAAAAGTCCGGTGAAGGATTCTACTCTTACAAATAGGAAGTACCAAATGGAAAATAACTGCATACAATATATCAAAACTATCGTTTTGATCAATTATAAAATTCGTTCAGAGTCTAAACTAACATTCATCTGTCGTCATAACTGTCAGAAAGAAAAACTCCATGTCTTCGAATCATTTACGGTGAAATATTTGAGATGCTACATTCCAAAATGTATTTTAGCATCTCAAATTATGATTTTTGTCAATAGCAATTGGCATCAATTAGCTTAAATGTGGAGAAGTGAAACTCTAGACAGAAATTTCATTTACAAATAACAGACGAGTGTAAATATATTACAACGGGTTCATGCAAATAAGTTAATACAATATACGTAAAATAAAAAAAATCTTTTGAAAAGTGGAGAAAATGTAGAATTGAAATTCCCACATTTAAGAATTTCTTTCCATTTTCTCTCTTTCACTCATCCCTTGCTTCTAAAATTTATTAAAAATTTGATAATTAGAAATCAATTAAGTGGAAATTCCAATTCCATACATTTTATATAGTTAGGAATAAAAACGGCATTATAATTAATTCTCCTTACGCCATGAGTGCTTTGAACTGATTATAATTTTCCATCACATTGTTATCAATAGCGAATTCCTTAAAAAGCTCTTTCTCCAGTGCCTCCCGAAATTCAAATAGGTCCTTCCAATGCTGGAAACAGAATCAATTAACAAATTCAGTGCTTGATAATAAACATGGTGTGAAATTAATGACACTGCATTGTCCAGATCCACATTCAATAATTACTGCTACTAGCCTCTCATCAAGTTCCCTTTCGAATTAGGTGTAAAATTTATAGTGCGTTAAACGCCGCATACTTAATCTCTTTCATTATATCACAATTTCGTCAACTTGATCAAACATTTCATTGTTAACTGTACATACCTAATTTTAAGGCACTGGTTCCTGAAGTACTCAAAAACATACAAATGACCAAGGCGCTAACCTTTAGAAATACATTTTTGAAACGTCCAGTAACGTACAAGTACCAGTTATTCCGGAAATCACTCCCACTGCTTTCGCTATTGACGATGTGTTCCGCTAAAGTAACGGTAAACTTCTAAAACAAAGTATGTCACATATTCGATTGCGACGAAGAACTAATTATCAGCTCCACAATGACTACTCTCCCTCTCAATATGGCATTAAAATGGCTCTTCTAATAAATGTCATACTCGTCATAGAAAGTTAACGAAAACTACTGCTGCTAATATGGACCACCATATATTGAAATATGAAATAGTGCTTGATACTTTTTATCATTTTACAGGAAATCACGACGTCGCTTCTGACACTAAATATAGATATGCATTTGAAGAGTCAGGAAGAACTTACATGAAGCACGTCAAGAAGCAAGTTTTTCAAGCACTCATGTAAATCAGCAAATTCGCTTTCCTTAGCAAATGATTTCATTGTATTAGGATCAGCCATGTCATGTTCCTCGGTCTCCATGTCCTTCAAGAACGTTATTCATTCAGATATAAAGAAATTGCATGAAGTCCCTCAAATAATGATTTTAATTGAACAGTTCTTTATTTTTTATGAAGAAAACTTTAATCTTCCTAATAAAAATAATACAAAAAGACTAACAAAATCATTCTTCTCATGATCCGATTCTTTCTGCTCTTTTTCCAATTTTGAGTTTTCGATTGCTTGTCTACTTCGACGAACATGTCCACTGACATGTTCGAGGGCTCTGTTCAGTACTTCCCAAATCCATAATCTAAAATGTAATAAAGTAGTAAAACGTTAGTACTAAAATCAACTCCTTTTATACTGTGTTTAACATAACAAAACTTTTTATACCGTTCAAATTCAGGTTTCATTTCATCACTGAACAACCAAGCCACAACAGCACTGGCGTCAACCAGCGACATTTTCAGTAATTTTGTCACTAGTACTATTATCATCTGGAAAATAAATTTGTCTTATATATAAATATTTATATGCAAGAAAAACATGTGAAACAAATAGCAGATGATGAATGCGTGTTTCAAAACATTTTGTACAAATTATTTATATCTATTTGTCGTATCCCATTCGCGACATCTAAATGTCCCAATAGACTTTGTATTAGTTGTTGAGCTTTGTCAAAAAACATTAAATTGTAACTAAACTTAATGTTACAAGTTGGACAGTATAGATCATTTTGAATGGCCTGTCAAAGACCTAATGATGATGATTTAAACAAAACTCGATAAATAAAATAAAAAAAAAATTTATCGATAAAAATACAACGAATAATTTCTTAAATATACCTGTCCATGAAGCTTCCAAGTTTCATAAAGTGTTCTCAAAATAGTTA